TTTTTGCATTTACGATCTGATGGGCACGTATTCCTCTTAGCGGCTCTGAATTTCTGTGAATTCTAAATGAACCGTTCCAGGGCTGTGGAACGTGAGGGATATTTTTACAGGAGTACTCCCAACTTTTCGGGTGCTGTAACATGAAGGCTGCTGTGGTTGCCCACGTGCCCCCCAGGACTCACCCTGTTTCCCAGGCCACCCCGCCGTGCCTTCTCGGCTCTCTTTCCTTGAAGGCTCTCTGTGATTTGGCTCCGGAGGACGGTTTCTCTTCCTGCAAACGGAAAGGCTGTGAGGCTTTGCCGTGCCTCTGGGTTGGGTTTGGAGATGTAGGGAAACGCTTGCACAGAGCAGTGACACAGAAGCACGGCGTGCCGAGGGGAATCAGTCGGCAACCTGTCCGCTCCTCTGCCAGAAGTGCAGCGAATTCATAATGCAGTGTGAGAGCGAATGGCTGCATGGGGACGGATGCACCCGGCATTATGTAACTCAATGAGAAATGCATTGCTGTTGTAGGAGCGGGCATAAATAGCACAGCTAGATAAGTGAGGAAGGGCGCCCTTCATCAAACCTGTGTTACGCAGCTCTGCCTTCAGTCCCCGCTTCTCACAGGGCTGAAGGAAGGAAGCAGCTTCTGCCTAAACTGAGCATTGATCCCAAACCTTCTCAGTACCTGTTGTGAACTTGGCAGCAGAGTTGGCTCTCCCTCTTCCTGCCTCTGCTGCCAGCCTCCCCCAATTGATTTTGGGATCTCTGTGCTTTTTTTAAGGAAGTCACAGTTCCAGAGCAGAACCGGGCAGCTCAGCTTTTCCTCCTCTTTTTTTTTTGCCCTGCTTTAAATGTTATTCCTTAGGTACTCGCACATTTCTGCTCTTTGCCTGTTTATTTGTGTTTCTGCTGAGCTGTTCAGCCTGACCTTTGCTGGGCAGAAGCCTTCTGAAAATGTGAGGCCGGGTCAGGCAATGTCAGTAAACTTCTGCATTCCCAAACTTTTATCCTGTAAAACTGGGAATGTTTTTTGGTGTTTTTTTTTTTAATTGCATCTCATTGTGGTAAACACAAATAAATGTGTATTTTAAAAATCAAAGGATGTGTTTTAAAGCACATTTGTAGCTTTTGCTTTTTGGGCCGTGTAGGGGATGGTAGGAATTAGTGGCCCTTAATTAGACGTGGAGATATTCACATTTTGCAGGGATTTATGTTGGAACGTGGAATGGCGGGTGGCTTGTTTCCTCATTATGAATACTCCCTGCACATAATGAGGTTCATCATTAGTTGATGGAGTGAATTTGCCCTAGCTCTACCTTGAAAGGCACATAATTTACATACTACTTCAGAGCTTAGGCTTTAATGGATTCCTCGATGAATAAAATGAAAAGCTACTTTCTTTAAATTTTTGAACAGTGTTTTGATAATACGGATTTAATAAGACATTCAATTTCCTTGTTAAGTATATTTGAAAGTGCATTCCCAATTTTAGCACCAAATATATTTCCCGGTGTCGCCTGCCATAACTCCGGGCAGCAGCACCGGGCCCAGCGGAGCACTGCTGGCATTTTGGGGACGGAGCGGTGCAGCTCCGGGTGCTCGGGAGCCCCTGCCCTCTCTGTGTGGTGTTAGCACTGTTCTGCTCCTCTTCTGCACTTGCTGTGTGCAGCTGTGCTGATTGATCGACACAAATGCGTCGGCGACTGTCAGCCTGACAGTGACAAACCCGCCGGTCCCACCTCCCTATTTATTTTAATGAGAGAACAGCAAAAACTTTGCCGGTGCAGTTCTGCCTTGGAAAGTGCTGTGGAGATGTGGTCAGAGCAGGTGGAGCTGCGTGCTGCCTGGCGTGCTGCGGTGTCACACGGTGTGGGCTGCTGGGGATGGAGTGACACGGCCCTGCTGCAGGGCAGGAGGCACGGATGGGATGCTTTATTACCTGGGAGCGATGAGCATACATTACCATTAATAGAATAGTCGGTGTCATTCCTTTTTAGGCAATTTACCTCCGCTGCAGACCTGTCTGCTTCAAAATCTTTCTCTGTTCTAAAACATATATTTGTTTAGGGAGTTTTCATTGAAGTGTACATGACAATTACAGCTGTTCATTAACAAAATTGGGTATTTGTTTTAAACTTTAACCAATCACTTTGATATGCTAATTATGGTGTAATTTAATTTGAGCCCTGTAATGATGATGCCGTTATTATGGACATAAATGATGCAGTTAAGCTGAGAGTAATCTCATTTGCATACTGTACATGCCAGTAAATTAAGCCCTTTCTTCGACTGCTTCAGCTTTAATTTTCCACTTCTTTTCACACAGCGCCTTTCAGCCGGTCTCTCATAAGCCCACTTTGTAAGAGCGCTGATGACTGTTTGATGTGGAGAGTTGCTGCACCACAATAATGCACGACACAAGATGTAACATTTAAAGGATTCATTATCTTACTGAGAGTTGCTTTAAGGAGCTGGGATTAGCAGGGGTGGAAGTGTCCTCTGTGGAGTGGCGCAGGTCTCCCAGTAAACCGTTGCCATCTTCCTTCTCCCCCCCTTTTTGCTGTACCCCGGTTCTGGAAGCGCGAGGTGAGGCCTTGCGTGCTCTGCAGGTGTGAGCTGTGGCTGCCTGCCGTGCAGCACGCAGGGCTCTGCGCTGCTCCACCACTGCAGAAAAGCTACTGGATGCGATCTGCAGTGTGCAGATGGGAGACGCCGGGGTCCTGCTGAGGTAGGCAGGTTTGTGGCCCGCTACCCAACGTACGCCACGTGGAATTAAAACTTGTGGCGTTGCTTTGTTTCATTCATTGCTGCTTTCTCCTTTCAAGGTGTCTGCTTGGGCTGAGCTTAACATCAGGTTAGTTTTGAATTTAATTTTTAAGAACTGGAATTTCTGTGTTGTTCCGCCTCCTCATCCTAAAGAAATCTGTGGTTTCAGAAGACTAAAAGTCACTGAAACCAAACAGAGATGAACTGATGAGCAAGTGCTGACTTAAACAGTTAATCTTTCCCCATTTGCCATGTTGTCATTGAGCTGAAGTATTCTCATTGCGCTGTGGCATACGAAGAAATCATGTGAAATAAACAGGGCTCTTTTTATAGCTGCTTACTGTTATGGTTAGATATTTTCATAGTTTAATACCTCTGGAAGTGAAGCCCGTCCCCAGTTTTTAGCAGCAGTTGGCCTCTCAGAAAGCCATTGTTGTGTGGGTAACCAAGTTAACTGAAGAGCGTTATGAAAACCTTGCAATCCTTTCCTTACACAGGGTCCCATGACCACAAATAGTTTGTGCCGTTGCCCATAAACACGCAAGTTAATAACTTCCTGGGTGAGCAGCGTGAAACTGCCGATCCCCAGCGCACGCTCTCCACTCCCACCCCCACCCCTTTACGGTGCATAGCAAGTAAATGGGAGGTCCTGGGCTTACCAACTGCCCAGTGCTGGGTTTTTATGGTCCTCACCTGCACTTTGTCTCTTTGTGTATTTCTCACGTGCTGTTTTGTTTTCCAGCAGGCATCCCATGATAGCCAAGCCTGCCCCGCTGAATTTGTACCTTCATTTCTGTGTCAGGAGCGCAGCAACCATTCCCACAAAGCCCCCGCTCTTCCCACCAGTAGGATTTTAGTTCTCCTGGCATCCCTTCCTAATGGAGAGCGTCCATGGAGACAAGTAAAAGCATGACTCTCTCGTTTTACAAGCCCCTTGTGTTCTCCTTGATAGGACAGCCCGGATAATGACATGCCAGCCAGGGTGGACAACAGAAGTATGTAGTATCAGATCTCAGGGCTCGCTTCCAGCACGACACGTGCCCAGAAGAGGAAAGGTTCTCCATGTCCGTTCTAGGAGCCTGTGTGCTTAAGCATGGCTTTGTGTGCAAGTGCACAAGAGACAAATGCAGCAGCATTTCCCTTGCTCCCTGTATTCAGAGCCCAACCAGGAGCACGGGCAGAGAGAGAGCTCTTCAAAAAATGGGGCAGTGTGGGGCGGGCTCTCCCCAGCTGCTCCAGGAGGTCAGAGGAAGCCTAGTGTAATGCTGGAAAGCTGTGTTCTCTAAAGCTTGTGAAAAGAGTTCTTGACTTGATCCATTTTAGCAGTAGCATTACAGTTCAAGCCTTCCTTTCACAGACAATGTACATATTGTATAACGTATACATATGTCATGGGTGTTGTGTCTTCAGCTTCCGTAGAAAGGAATATATTGAGCGTGACTCTCTTGGGTTCTGGAGAGGTATCAGGGCCGGCCAGCCAGCCACGTGAAGGTAGGATGAACTGAGAGGTGGGGCAGGATGGTTGCTTCTGGTGTTTTTAGTGTTTCATGGATATGACGACGTAGCGCCCTGTCCAGGAGCTTCAGTGTTAGGAGATAATATTTCTTTCAAAGTGATTTCAGTATCTCACCCATAAAGGAGCTGTGTTGTAAGAACTGCCTTCAGAAGTGGTTTCAGGCATAGTTTTTCCTACCATCTTCTGTCTTAACAAAGCACATATCCTTCCTCCCCTCACAGGACCTTGTCAGTTCATTCTGGATAAAGAAATCCGTTTATGAAGAAGATTTTCCCTGTATCATCTCCCTCTTTAATCTGATCCCAGATTGCAATTTTCAGTAAGTTTCTCCTTCCGCACTTTCCAACCCACAAACCTTTTCAACCCAATCAGGTGGGAAATTAAAAGATACCAGTTCAAACGATGTACTGTGCAGCCCTGTTTGAGCATTTCTGTGTAATTCAGGATTGCTGGTTTCAAAGAAATTTTTCACATCAGGTAATGGTAGCTTTCTGCAGAAAGTTATTTCAGGGAGTGTTGAGCTTCATGGGAGACAGACTTCTCCTTTTACAGCTTTGTTTACAAACAGCTTTGTTCTTACCCTTTCCCAGCAAAACAAGTGTTTCTTCACAGAAATACTTTTGGTTGAGAGCAAAGCCACTGAACCTCTCTCTAGAATTATAACTACACCAGATTAAAGAGCAATTTATCATATGCTAATAAACTTACCCCATCAAAGTCTCGGGTATCAAGACGTAGAAACAAAAATAGGCCTCTGATCTCTATCTCTGTACTGCTTTTCAGCATAGTCTTTTAATGGTAACCAGTGAAAAAGCTGTAGGAATTTGTCTTTGTATTTACCAATAGCTAAGGCAAACTGTTATTTGTCACTGTGCCATTACCTGAGTACTGTGCTGTTGGCCTTCCACATCTGTCTGAACTGAGCTGACTGCAGGTTTTGGAGCGTGACGATTCTCTGTCCCCGTTCTTGTGGATTTGTTCATATTTGTGAGCACCTCTTTTCATGGCTGTGGAAATGGACAGGTATTTTTGATCAGGAACCCTGGTAAAACTGTGCCCAACTCCTTTGCTTTCCCAGCCTCAGGAGCCCAAGCAGCTCCCAGCCGGGCTCACCTGCAGCAGCCGGCGATGTTTTGGGAAGCCGAGGAAGTCTGCCTGTTGCTACTGGTCTGAGGTGTCCGCAAAATATAGTGGTAGCTGCTAGAGCTTTTTAATCTATGTCTTGTAGTTCTTTTGGCTGCACCTACCTCTTTCCAGCAGCAGATTTTCCTGTGAGTGAGTCGT